GAGACTTGTATGAGAATGTTCATGGCAGCACTGTTTATGGTAACAAAATGGAATACAACAATTCTCCACCAGCGAAAGAACAGATACATTGGACTGGAATATAATATTATTGAGCAGTGAAAATGAATAAAGCTATACTAAACTGCATGAATAAATCAATCCTAGAATTGAGGGGGAAATGCAGAAGTCCTCATACTGTGTAATATCACCTTATAAAGCTCAAAAGTCAGCAAAATTAAGCAATTATCATTTAGGAAAGTATATAGTTGACCTTTCAACAACACAGGTTTGAACTGCACGGGTCTACTTATTTGTGAGTTTTCTTTTTTTTTTTTTTTAATTTTTCCTTTTTGTTGTTTCTTGGTGTCTTCTAATATTCATGGATTGTCTTCCACCTCTGACACTTCTTTTTTTTTTTTTTTTTTTTTTTTTGAGACGGAGTCATGCTCTGTCGCCCAGGCTGGAGTGCAGTGGCCGGATCTCAGCTCACTGCAAGCTCCGCCTCCCGGGTTCACGCCATTCTCCTGCCTCAGCCTCCCAAGTAGCTGGGACTACAGGCGCCCGCCACTTCGCCCGGCTAGTTTTTTGTATTTTTTAGTAGAGACGGGGTTTCACCGTGTTAGCCAGGATGGTCTCGATCTCCTGACCTCGTGATCCGCCCGTCTCGGCCTCCCAAAGTGCTGGGATTACAGGCTTGAGCCACCGCGCCCGGCCCACCTCTGACACTTCTGAGCCATCAAGACCAACCCCTCCTCTTCCTCCTCGTCCTCAGCTTACTCAATGTGAAGATGAGGAGGAAAGACCTTTATGATGATCCATTTCCATTTAATGAATAGTAAATATATTTTCTCTTCCTTGTGATTTTTAAAATATTTTCTTTTCTCTAGCTTACTTTATTATAAGAATACAATATATAATACATAAAATATAAAATATATGTCCATTGACTGTGTTATCAGTAAGGTTTCGGCTCAACAGTAGGCTGTTAGTAATTAAGTTTTAGGTGAATCAGAAGTTACACTTGAATCTTCAACCATGTGGGGGTCACCCTCACATTGTTTAAGGGTCAACTTTACATATAGTCCTTTCAAAAGGAATGAAATAAATACAATTCTAGTGATGGCCTCATCTAAGGAGAGGCAGGGGAATAGGGGAGGGAAGGAACTAGAAAATAGCTTCAGCGTGGCCGGGCACGGTGGCTCATACCTGTAATCCCAGCACTTTGAGAGGCTGAGGTGGGCAGATCGCATGAGGTCAGGAGTTCGAGACCAGCCTGACCAACATGGAGAAACCCAGTCTCTACTAAAAATACAAAACTTAGCTGGGCATGGTGGTGCACACCTGTAATTCCAGCTACTCAGGAGGCTGAGGCAGGAGAATCTCTTGAACCTGGGAGGCAGAGATCACAGCGAGCCGAGATCAGGCCACTACACTCCAGCCTGGACGACCGAGTGAGACTCTGTAACAAAGATTAAAAAAAAAAAAAGAAAAGAAAAGAAAAGAAAATAGCTTCAGGTTGGGCGTGGTGACTCACGCCTATAATCCCAGCACCTGAGGAGGGCAGATCACCTGAGGTCGGGAGTCTGAGACTAGCCTGACCAACATGGAGAAACCCCGTCTCTATTAAAAATACAAAAGTAGCCAGGTATGGTGGTGCATAGCTGTAATCTCAGCTACTCGGGAGGCTGAGGCAGGAGAATCACTTAAACCCAGGAGACAGAAGTTGCAGTGAGCCGAGATCACGCCATCGCACTTCTGCCTGGGCACCAAGAGCAAAACTCCATCTCAAAAAAAAGAGAGAAAAAGAAAAGGAAAAAAGAAAGAAGATAGCTTCAACCATTCTTAATAGTTTACATAAGTGGAGTAGTGGGAGCATGAGTGATTGTTTCATCATTATGCTTCATAAATTACCAAAAAATTGTACTCTTGAATAAGTAACAAATATATATAAATTAGTAGCTGGTTCCTGATTTGCTTAGCTGGGATTTGCCTATAGTGATGCGTCCCTGCCGATGGAAACTGCACACATACAGAGCAAAAAATAATAGCTAATATGGCTGGGTGTGGTGGCTCACGCCTCTACTCCCACCACTCTGGGAGGCTGAGGCAGGTGGATTGCTTGAGCTGAGGAGTTCAAGACCAACCTGGGCAACATGGCAAACCCCATCTCTACAAAAAAATTAGCTGACACGGCCGGGCGCGGTGGCTCAAGCCTGTAATCCCAGCACTTTGGGAGGCCGAGACGGGTGGATCACGAGGTCAGGAGATCGAGACCATCCTGGATAACACGGTGAAACCCCGTCTCTACTAAGAAACACAAAAAACTAGCCGGGCGAGGTGGCGGGCGCTTGTAGTCCCAGCTACTCGGGAGGCTGAGGCCGGAGAATGGCGTGAACCCGGGAGGCGGAGCTTGCAGTGAGCTGAGATCCGGCCACTGCACTCCAGCCTGGGCTACAGAGCGAGACTCCGTCTCAAAAAAAAAAAAAAAAAAAAAAAAAAAATTAGCTGACTGTGGTGGTGTGCCCCCGTAGTCCCAGTTACTGGGGAGGCTGAGGCAAGAGGATCCATTGAGCCTAGAAGGTAGAGGATGCAGTGAGTCAAAATCACATCACTGCACTCCAGCCGGAGCAATAGAGCAAGACCCTGTTTCAAAAAATAAATAAATAAATAAATAAAAACTAATAATAATGATAGGCTCATATTTACTGAGCTCTTCCTAAGTGCCAGGGCCTGCCTAGGTGCATTAGGTTTATTATCTCATTTCATCTTCACTCACCCCTATAAGAAAGGTATCCGTATTCGATTAGTTTCATAAATAAGGAAACTGAGGCTTAGAAAAATTAAATGGCTTGTCCATGGTCACCCAGCATGAGAGTGGTAACCCCACAGTCTAGGCATCTAACCTTCATGCTACACTCTCTCTGTGAGTGGTTATAACTTTAAAAAGGGCCGGGCACAATGGCTCATGCCTGTAATCCCAGCACTTTGGGAGACCGAAGTGGGTGGATCACCTGAGGTCAGGAGTTTGAGACTGGCCTGGCCAAAATGGCAAAACCCCATCTCTACTAAAAATACAAAAATTAGTCGGGTGTGGTGGTGGGCGCCTGTAGTCCCAGCTACTTGGGAGGCTGAGGCAGGAGAACTGCTTGAACCTGGGAGGTGGAGGTTTCAGTGAACGGAGATTACGCCACTGCACTCCAGCCTGGGCCATAGAGTGAGGCTCCATCTCAAAAATAAATAAATAAATAGCCAGGTGTGGTGGCTCACAACTGTAAGCACTCTGGGAGGCCAAGGTGGGTGGATCACTTGAGGTCAGGAGTTCGAGACCAGCCTGGCCAACATGGTGAAACCCCGTCTCTACTTAAAATAGAAAAATTAGCCGGGCATGGTGGCTCATGCCTGTAATCCCAGCTACTTGGGAGGCTGAGGCAGGAGAATCGCTTGACCCCAGGAGGCGGAGGCTGCAGTGAGCCAAGATTGTGCCATTGCACTACAGCCTGGGCGACAAGAGCGAAACTCCATCTCAAAAAAATAAGAATAATAAATAAATAAATAAACTTTAAAAAGATCTGCTTCACCAGGCGCAGTGGCTAACGCCTGTAATCCCAGCATTTTGGGAGGCCGAGGTGGGTGGATCACCTGAGGTCAGGAGTTCAAGACCAGCATGGCCAACATGGTGAAACCCCATCTCTACTAAAACTACAAAAATTAGCCAGGCATGGTGGCAGGTGCCTGTAATCCCAGCTACTCGGTAGGCTAAGGCAGGAGAATCCCTTGAACCCGGGAGGCGGAGGTTGAAGTGGGCCGAGATCACGCCATTGCACCCCAGCCTAGGCGACAGAGTGAGACTCCATCTCAAAAAAAAAAAAAAAATATATATATATATATATATGTATATATATATATATATATATCTGCTTCTTACCTATTCTTCCTTTCAGAGATGAATTTTGAAACTTGTGGAGGTGAGAATATTGAATTTTTAGAACATTGTGCCCACGAAGGAATATTGGATGAAGCATGTTTTCTCATCCACAGAAGAATAGTTCAAAGGGAATGGACTTTTAGAAAAACAAGGAGTAATCATATTAGATGTTTGGAAGAGATGACTGTGCCACATCCAGGAATATCAGGGAGCCCTATGCCCTGGAAAATATTTAGGAAAAGACAGACATGTACTTTTTGGAAGTGTTTGAGAATAAGTTTAATATCTGAACCAAAATAAACACTTCACAAAGGTCCTCCTTGCCACTTATTAATTCTAAAACCCACTGAGGTGAAATGAGAGGAGACTCCTAAGCCTCAGCCCCTCCCAAATGGAGTGCAGGTCAGCCTGGAGAATTATGCTGTTGACCCCAGTTCCCCCTTGGGAAAGAAGTCTTTACACACTGTTTACCCCTAGAATTCTGCGACTGGGAAAGTGGACTTTTCCCATACTCTCCCCTCCCCAACATAACTAAGAGTGAAATTGGAGTGCCAGGATGGGAGAGATTCCAGGAGCAGCCAAGAAGGCTCTGCCTCCAAGAAAAGACCACTAGATGTTCCCTTAGAAATCCAGCAACACTGGGCTGGGCAAGGTGTTTCACGCCTGTAATCCCAGCACTTTGGGAGGCAGAGGCAGGTGGATCACCTGAGGTCAAGAGTTCGAGACCAGCCAGGTCAACATGGTGAAACCACATCTCTACTAAAAATACAAAAATTAGCTGGGCCTGGTGGCATGCATCTGTAATCCCAGCTACTTGGGAGGCTGAGAGAGGAGAATCTCTTGAACCTGGGAGGTGGAGGTTGCAATGAGCCAAGACTGCCATTGCACTGCAGCCTGGGCAACAAGAGCCAAACTCCTTTTCAAAGGAGAAGAAAGAAATCCAGCAACACCTATCAAAAGATCAAATTTTTGTACCCATAAATTCATCCCGCAATAAAAATCTGCCTTCTATGACACACAATAAATCAGAGTACCTGTGGCACGGAGCTCCAAATTCAGTGTTCTGGATTGTTGAAGTTAAGGCTCATCATGGAGGGTTCACTTCTCAAGATTGGATCCTAAAACTGGATACCATCAAGATGGGACATAGCAGGGTCTACCCTGGTAGGTGGAAACATGTGGAAACTCTACCTAAAAGCTCAGTCTGGGTGCAGTGGTTCATGCCTGTATTGCCAGCACTTTGGGAGGCTGAGGCAGACAGATCTCGAGGTCAGGAATTTGAGACCAGCCTGGCCAACATAGCGAAACCCCATCTCTACTAAAAATACAAAAAATTAGCTGGGTGTGGTGGCAGGCACCTGTAATCCCAGCTACTTGGGAGGTTGAGGCAGGAGAATCATTTGAACCTGGGAGGCAGAGGTTATAGTGAGCCAAGATTGCACCACTGCACTCCAGCCTGAGTGACAGTGTGAGACTCTGTCTCAAAAAAAAAAATCAGAACATACAAACACACAGCAACCTCAAGGTCCCACCCACCTCTCAGAGCCTGTATGGGGTAAAGTTAAGCACAAAAGCTTTACAGACAGCCTACCTGGGTTCAAATCCTAGTTTTGCTGTTCACAAAGCAGCCCTGAGTATATTCCTCATGCTCCATGTACCTCAATTCCCTGTCTGCAAAGTGGATATAATATTTCTTACTTTGTAGAATTATTGTGAGAATTAACTGAGATGGTGCATGTTAAGTGCTTACAAGTCTAAACTGCTCTCACCAGTTTAGATTAGGTAGCCCAGACCTCATCAATACCAGCAGAGTGTCAGGGGAGAGGGACCTGAGAGGGAGATGTCATGAACCCTGCATTTTGACTAGTGATCAGTAAAGGTTAGCTATTATTGTTATTGGCAAGGAGGGCACCCTAGCAGCTGTCTTGCCTATCTCTTAAGACAAATCAGTTCTCTCAGAGGCTTGAGGGTTTGCATTCCCTGGGTCAGTACCCATTCATCCCCTAGCCTTCCCTTTTCACTCAAGTACTCAAGTCAGTCAATGTCATTGGGTTCCCCGGTTAATCAGTGAACATTTTCTTCCAGGTACAGGAGGAAACCATTTCCCAGGCAGGCTTTTTTGGGGACTGACCATCTGGCTTTAACTCTTCACCTCTTCCTGCCACCAACCTGTGAGGCCTAGTGTGGCTTCTCTGAAGGACCCTGCAGTTGAAAGGAAAGGAAATCAGAAGTTTTCACAGCCCCACCGTTCCACCTCAGGCTCTTCTCCTCTCTTCTCTAGTCCAGAAACCAGCCCATATCCATAAAACATCAGTTCTCCTGTCAGAGTCATCCACAACACAATAGACTTCCCAGGCCTGGGAATAAAGACTGCAGTCCCTTCATCCTCTAAAGCCTTCCTGGGCCAACGGCCAAGAGCCACCCTCAACTGGTCTGAGCCAGAGCTATCAGCTCCAACTGACTTTCCTGGTGGGAGCTGCTGGGAGCTGTCTCTCTCAGGTCACAGCCAGCTGCTGCCCAGATTCTATTCACTCTCACATTTCACACACCAAACCCAGCATAGCTAAGCTGAATCTCATAGTCCTGCTTTCTCCCAGGAACCTGAAATCAGGGACTCAGCTGTCATTATTTCCATGAAGGAGAGTGTATGAAATGCATTCAGTCAATCATCTGCCACTTATCAAGCACCTACTCTGTGCCCCTAGCCTGTGTAATGAGGAGTCACAGCCCAGTGTGAATAGCTAATATCTACATAAGATATATGTAATATCTATGTAAGATCTATGCAAAAGGTAAGTGCTGGCTTCTGTCTGAATTTTTGCCCTGTTATTTCAGAGTACTGTAAAGCTCCTCTGATCCCTAAGCTTTGCATCAGAGGCTTAGACATTCATTATCTCCCTGGGTAGGGGTGGAGAGGTGGGGCATGGTCCAGAATCCAGCACAGTGCCCGGCTCAGGAATGTTGGTTTGGTAGAATCAAAGGTGATGTCTTGCTTGCTCTCACCAGTTTATTTTATTTTTACTTATTTGTTTTTATTTTTATTTATTTGTTTTTGAGACAGAGACTCTGTCATCCAGGCTGGAGTGCAGTGGCTCAATCTCGGCTCGCTATAGCCTCTGCCTCTCAGGCTCAATCGCTTCTCATGCCTCAGCTACCCAAGTAGCTGGGATTACAGGCGTGTGCCCCCACGCCTGGTCAATTTTTGTATTTTTAGTAGAGATGGGGTTTCACCATGTTGGCCAGGCTGGTCTCAAACTCCTGACCTCAGGTGAACTGCCCGCCTTGGCCTCCCAAAGTGCTGGGCTTACAGGCGTGAGCCACCGCGCCTGGCTGCTCTCACCAGTTTAGATTAGGTAGCCCAGACCTCATCAATACCAGCTAAGTGTCAGGGGAGAGGGAACTGAGACGGAGATGTCATGAACCCTGCTCCTAGGAGGTAGACAAGCCAAGAGAGACTCTAACGACAGGTGTGCTCTCAGTTCTAAGCTCAGGTGACAGTCCTGGGGAATAATACAAAGTCTTGCTTACCATATAGTCACCTTTTTATAAAGTATAAGTCAAACTAACTATTAATGTTCTGGCTTCCTATCCTGATAAGTATACCTTTACAGTGACTTGGGAGACCAGGTTTGGATTTAGAACTCCTGGAAGTCCCATGCTAGAATGTGCCCCAGTTCTGGCCCTCAGCCCATTGGCTGCCTTCTCTTCCCTCTCCCCATCTTGCACTGCAAAGAACCCGACGTACATGTGTAGACACCCTAGTCTACACATCCAAGCTCTGTCACCCTACTGTCTGGCAAACAGCTGCCCTTTGGCCACGGCTGGGCTGAATGTTTGTGTTTCCCAAAAATTCCTATACTGAAACTTAATCCCCAATGTGATAGTATAGTTGTCCTTCCATATCTGTCGGGGATTGGTTTCAGGATGCCTGAGGATACTGAAATCCACAGGTGCTCAAGTCTCTCATATAAAATGGTATACTCCAGCCTGGGCAACATAGTGAGACCCCATCTCTAAAAATAAAAATAAAAAAATTAGCCAGGTGTGGTGGCACATGCCTGTAGTCCCAGCCATTCAGGAGGCTGAGGTGGGAGGATCACTTGAGCCAGGGAAATCGAGTGAGCTGTGATCGCACCACTGCACTCCAGCCTGGGCCTTTGTTCTTTGTTCTCTGTCTCAAAAAACAAAACAAAACCCACCAAAAACAGTGTAGTATTTGCACATAACCTTCTGTGCACATCCTCTTGCATAAGATTATCTCTAGGTTACTTATAATACCTACTAATATAATGTAAACGCTATGTAAATAGTTGTTATGCTGTATTGACATTTTTTGTTTGTATTGTTTTTTTATTGTTGTATTGGGGGGGTTGGGTTGTTTGTTTGGAGGCAGAGTCTTGCTCTGTTACCCAGGCTGGAGTGCAGTGGTATGATCTTGGCTCACTGCAACCTCCATCTCCTGGGTTCAAGCAATTCTTGTGCCTCCAGCCTCCCAAATAGCTGGGATTACAGGCATGTACCACCACACCTGATTAATTTTTGTATTTTTAGTAGAGACAGGGTTTCACCCTGTTGCCCAAGCTGGTTGCGAACTCCTGAGCTCAGGCAATCTGCCCACCTTGGCCTCCCAGAATGCTGGGATTACAGGCATGAGCCACCGTGCCCAGCCTGTTGTTGTTTTGGAATATGGTATTTTCCATCTGAGGTTGTATCTGAGGACGCAGACCCCAGGGATATGGAGGGCTGACTGTATTAAGGTGGGGCCTTTTGGGGTGCAATAAGTCAAGTAAGAATAGAGGGATTAGCTCCCTTATAAAAGAGGCCAAGGGAGCTTTCTTGCCCTTCCACCTTGTGAGGGTACAGTGAAAAGACACCTGTCTATGAGGAAGAGGGCTCTCATCAGACATCGACCTTGATCTTGACCTTGATCTTGGACTTTCCAGTCTCCAAAAGTGTGAGCAATAAATTTCTCTTGTCTGTAAGCCACTGAGTCTAAGGTACTTTGTTGTAGCAACCAGAGCAGACTAAGGCAGCCACCTCTTAGACCTACAAGTATGCACACCAACAGCACAGCTCCCGGAACCCAGAGAGGAGGGGTCCAGGAAGTGGGCTTGGCAGAGAATTCTGGGGCCCTAGGTATAAGAAGTGTGGTCTAAAAGGAGGCCCTGTGCCCTATAGGGAGGGTCGTGGTGGCAGGAGGATCCGAGCAGGGACTTCTGAAGTGGGAATCCGGAGTACTGACCCCTGCTTTCTTGCAATGGGATTTTCCAGGCTGCAAGCTGACAGCAAAGGCTGTCATTTCCCTGTCCTCTAACACTGGTTCACTAATCTCTCTATCCCGAGGAGTGAACAGGAAACAAACAGACCAGTACAAAAGAAAAAAATACTGTTTATTCCACACAACTACATCAAATGCTTCTTCCCCATTCTCCTCTCCCCTTCCCCGCTCCAGCCCTCAGGAAGCTTTGCCTGTGTTGGGAACAGTGAGGACCTCAGTGTTAGAGCCTGGTCCATGAGGCAGGAAGGAAATCTGGGCATGGGAAGGTAACTGGATTTCCAAGAACACAAAAAATGTCAGGGTCTCGAATTCCAAACTCGTGTGTTCCTTAGTCCATTTGGCTGAGTTCTTTCCCTGGACTTTACCTGGATAAAATGCCATGGTTAGTGCAGGGTCAAAGGCCCTAGCTGATTCACCAGGAAAGTTTTGGTCTTTCTTCCATTTAAAACAAAACAAACAAAACCCCACACCGTTAAACCATTTCTGTCCATTCTCCTCTCTTTCCATAGTAAAGACGACACTAAACTCTGGCTTCAGTCCAGAAGATGTTTTCAAAACGAAATGTACACCGTCTCCTTTCAGAGCCTGATGCTAACAAGAAATAAAATAAACCCACCTCCTAGGTGAGAGGTTCAGGCCCCAGTTGCTTCCTGGGGGTCTTACACTGCGGGAGCAAGGGCAGAGATCATAGGCCAGCGAGCTCTGCTTTGGGCACACTTCAGGGACACCCTGCATCCCCATGCCTGGAGAATTCAGCCTACAAACCTCTCACCCCTGGTATTGTTCCTCCGAATGACCAGCAGAGGAGAAATGGTTTAGTTCTAGCTCAGCCTTGGGAAGACAGATTTAAATGAGGGAGGGGCTGAGAAAGCATGGCCAGGCCTAATTTAGACCAGTGGTTCATGATTGTTTTCCCATCATGACACAGGACAGATGGTGCCCTCCTGCACGTCCACCACCACAGACACACCCTGGATTATGTGCTATTCCCAGGGTGCCAGCTGTGACCCATTTGTCTCTCTCAAAAAAGAAAGCATACCTGAATGCAAGCATCTGAGCATGAAAACCTGCATCGCTATAGGTTTCTTTGTTTGTTTGAGACAGAGTCTTGCTCTGTCACCCAGGCTGGAGTGAAGCAACGTGATCTCAGCTCATTGCAACCTCCCGGGTTCAAGCAATCTCCTGCTTCAGCCTCCCAAGTAGCTGGGATTACAGGTGTGTGCCACTACACCTGACTAATTTTTGTATTTTTAGTAGAGACAGGGTTTCACCATGTTGGTCAGGCTGGTCTCAAACTCCTGACCTCAAATGATCTGCCCACCTCAGCCTCCCAAAGTGTTGGAATTACAGGCGTGAGCCACCGTACCTGGCCTAATTTACTAAGTGTAAGTCACTGAATCCTTTACAAGCTCTGGAACTTAACTATTCTCACGGAAAACTTGTTTGCAACACCCCTCCCAAATGAGTCTGTCATCTTACTGAGGCAGGTCAATAACCCTGAACTAGAGTGTGGAGCCTCTCTGTTGGAGACACGCTCTTCTGGGAAGCTGGGTCAGGCAAGCTGCCCACCTGCTTCCTCACCTCTGCTACAATCTGGCAGGCATGGTTTGTCCAAATGCAGCAGGGCGTGTGTGTGTGCGTGTGTGTGTGCACGCACGCATGCTGCACATGCGTGTGCTAATTCAGCACACAACTGTCCTCCTCTCACTGGCCAGGCTACCAAGAGGGTGGCCACGCTGGCATTGCAGGGCCTGGGAGGGACCAACAGGAAGTGGGAAAGGAAACAGCATACCAGAAGCAGCTAGGCTAGGAGGTGGCTCTGCACCAGTGACTGACAGAGGTGGTGATGTGTCTCCACCTGATGGTCACTCCCTCAGGGTGGATCATGGGAGGTCCAATGGAGGCAGCTGTTGGAGACCAGCCTCTGTAAGGATACGAGTACTGAAGAGAGGGGTGCTTGACCACCGTGACTTGAGGCCCTTTAGGGACTGTCTACACCACAAGCCTGTGGTCATCTAGGCAAATCTCTGTTCTCTCCTGACTTCCTGGAGTTACATACTGAATTTTAGGGGCTTTCCAGCCACAGTGAGGCTGGAAACTTACTTAACAGCTTGGATGAGAGCTAACCCCCAAGGTACCACAGCTACCCTGTCTAGAGGCAAAACCCAACCTGATCTGAGGGTGTTCTTGGCTCGGAGGACACTGGGGGGATTGCTTACACATAGACATGGTCTGAGACTCGACAAAATGAGATTCCTCCTCCGGTATCCAAGGCTTGAAGTTACAAAGAAAATTAGAGTTAAGTCAGCTTCCACAAGAGACCTTCCCAGGCTCCATCATTTATTTCAAGATGTTGTCCTTTCCCCCAGGGCCTTGCTGTCTGGTTTATTGTTTAATTTGCTCCTTTTAAGAAAACCCTAGTATTGGGCTGGGAATGGGTGTGAGGACAAGAGAAAGAAAGAGAAAGTCAGCATTCCTTTCCTTATTTTTCTCCAGAGTTGCCCGTTTGTTTGGGCAG